GCTTGTCATCTACTCATGACTTGACTGCATCCACAGACGATTTAAAGATAATGGTTACTGGCTGGAAAGTATTGGCTGACATTAAAGATCCTGGATACAAGAATGACACAATCCGCATGGGCGCTGTTCAGATGGTGGATTCACTGTTGTGTGAACAACAGTATGAGGATAACGGCATACAAGTCAGCATCACTGATAGTATGTTCTGTGCCAAACAAGACCACACAGCCTTTTCTAATATCTGCCCTGCTGAGACTGGTGGGATTGCAGCCATAACTTTGCCAGGAAAAGCATCTTCTGAGCTAAGGTGGCACCTGATGGGATTAGTGAGCTGGGGTTATGATAAAACTTGCAGCCTAGGACTCTACAGTGGCTACACCAAAGCTCTTCCCTTCAAAGACTGGATTGAGAGGAACATGAAATAAAAATCTGTGTCTGGAAATGGCATTTTATAATATAATATCTCTCTCAGTCTCTGCTGTTTTAGGCTTCTCATCCTAGTGATGAGACACATTTGGGATAAGTTTAAGGTAGACAGCCTGGTAAGTTGTCCTAGGATCAGATGCTTCATCAGGCTACTTTTACTTAACCCATGACAGAGAGTCTTAGTGCATGAGAAGTTTTGCTATATTTGGTCTGTCTCCCCTGGTGGGAGGACAATGCTCCTGAGTCTGACATACAGAAACAGGACAGTAAACTCGGTCTGAAATTAATCTGTAGTGTGGAGTCCCCTAGAGAAACTGGTGGTAAGCCTCTCCCAAAGATCTGTGTGACTGAGTGGATTAAGAGTGTAGAAAGAGTAGCCTGAATTCATTACAACGGATGAGCTTGTTACGGTATGTGCTGTCTGTATTGCCATACTACAATGTAATCTTTTTCCCTCCCAAGTACTTTACACATTTAAATAAACCATGGTTTGTTTTTTTAACCTACATACTCATGTCTGACATTGTTTAGATTCGTTGTTGCTTTATCTGTGTCACACTCTAGGAACCCTCTACTGCCCTTGTCTGTTTGCACATGACTCTCACTAGGAACACTTCGGGACTCTAAAAGGCAGAATTAGCAGAAAATTCAATGACTATATGAATTATAATATCTTTTTTATTAATAGATCCAGTGCTGCTATTGTACATGAGCCACTACAATGAAATGTACAAAGGAGTTCTCTTCCACCTTGTATTCTAAACAGATGAAAACACAAAACATATTCCAAATACCTTTTTTCCAAGTGGATTTCAAAGAAATAAAAGTCTCAGGAAACTTCTAGTTTCCATCAGTTCCCACCTCTGTGGCAAAACTGCTCCTCTGCAGCTCTTCAGCGTGAAGAGTAATGTCCAGGTCTCACACTTGGCAGATGTTTTTCTTAAACTGAGGCTGAACTGTCTGACATCAAAGGGTACGATTCTCCCATTGGGCATGTTGTCCAGGGGAGACACTTGGGTGTCCTCATGGTCCATAGTCACTGCTCTTTCACCAAATCATTCACTATTCTCTATTCAGTCATGGCTGAAGACTAGGAATTAACCCTTAAAAAAGTTGGGGAGAAGAGACAGTAACAATTGTCTCCCTTGATAAGTTATATATGACCAGTTATATATATATATATAACTCCTTGTTAAGTTATATATGACCATATGACAACCTGCAATTTGAAGAGCCTTCAAATAATTACAGTGCCCAAAACAGTTCACAGCAATAGTTGGATGTGAAGGCTGGGAATCTGACGAAAGGATTTAGTACTCTTACCAAGAAGAATTCAGATCCTGAAGTTATGTTCTGCCCAGCCTATTGCATGGCTATGGCAATTGTAAGCTAGAAAGTCTGATTTCAGCTTTGATTCTCTAATGCTGTAAAATCTTGTTAAGAGTTTCGTAGCATTCAGTAGTTTCCACCCATTTTTGAATCTGAAAATTGCTGCTAATAGAACAATTAGTATTGGACATCATTCCATGTAATTTATTTTTTACTTTACTGAACAAAAAATACTTAATATGTTATGCTTTTGCACTTTTCTTGTTTTCACTGGCAACAGGACCAGGTGATTTTGCTTGAATCAAATACTTTAAAGCTACAACCAAAGTATATTGCTTCTCTTTATCTTGTTTGTCCATCTCCTCCTGCCAGGAGATTATGCTTGGCTGACAAACTGCATGGCAACAACAGCAACAAAAATACTGAATTAAATGTGAAAAATATGATGCGTGTCATTCCTCTGCTGGGAGGAACATGTGCCAGTGAATGTGTGGTACTCCCCCACTGACAGCATGGGTTAGAGGAAATTAGGTGTCAGTTTTGGAGAAGCACAAACTTGCAGAAAGTCAACATGTGTTTCTTCCCAACACTATTGACAAAGAATGAAATGAGAAAGCTCTTCCATGATTACATTAAATGGTAGTCTCTACACTCTAAATAATTATTTAATTATCTAATGATAAACAGAAATTATAAAGATCTGTATGCTAGTTCTTTTCTCAGTTATGACACTATGACTGCATTGCTCTCCATAGCATTATCATTCTCCATTGCTATAACTGAGACAGAAGAGGCCCTAAATGTTTTTCTTTTCCTTTAGGATTTGTCCAGTCCACACAGATCTGCAAAAGTCTGTTTTAATTACAGCTTTAGCCCTCACTCTTCTCATTTTACTAAAGATCAGCCATGACTAGTATTTACCAATTCTCTAACTCCTCTTCAGTCTTGAATCCCATCCCCATTTGGCTTCAAATCACTCACAGATCTGGCAATGAATAGCTGAAAGTTTCTGGGTTTGGGCAGCAGCAATATAGCTGTTCACTGGCTGTATATCACACAAAAGTACATTCTTGAAGAGAAACTTGTAGGAATTCATGGAATTAAAATCTCAGTAGGTTGCTACAGCTGTGCAGCACAGCACCATTCAACCTTCCTTCCTTTTACAGTCATGATGGTCTTCAAAGAAAACAGAAGCAAGAAAATGGCCAGACATCTTTCAACACCAGGATTCAGATTTTACCATAGTCCTTTATAGAAAGAAGACTTGGTTGCAGCATTTGCTTCTATTTCTGGACCTCAGTGTTTGAATCCTAGATTCAAATCTGGCTACCTCTAAATGCAGACATGATGTTTTATTTCTATTATTATGTATTCACATGTACAAGTGAGCAGTCATATCAACATATCCAAGCACCTGTACCCATGTCTAAGAATTACAAGTCAGCTTGCCCATCCTTTCTGTCAGGCTTACCCACAGTAGTTTCATGTTCACAGCCTCAGCAGAACTGTGCAGGGGTTAGCATCTAATGCCAAAAATGAGGAAAAATAGGGATGAATATCTGAAAAAAAAGCGCAACCTGTGAGTTGGAATCACTAATCCCTTTTGATTGCTAGGCTCTATTTTTAAGATGTAAAACTATTTCAAACATCCCTTTCTAAACAGGTGAGGATTTGTGCCATCTGTTGGAGAAAGGGTGTGAAATAGCATGGATAGCAACTCATTTTCCCTCCAAGGAAAAAGAGCTGTGGATTCTGGAAAGGCCATAAGGATATTGCTATGGAAAGAGGAGAGCAAAACACTCTCTGCATTCTTATTCGCTCCAGTGGATTTATACTTCTTCCTTTGTATGTTTTTTGGGCTGCATTAAATTACTTCCAAAAGCCTGTGTGCTTAGCTGAAAAACAGCACTGAAAGGAAATGGACATACTGAGTACAAGCTCTTTTCAGGCACCTTCAGTGACTCTTGTAGAATTGCCGTTGTAAATTGTTTCCAGTGAAAATCTACGTCCATGGTTAAGATTACAAGAAAAAAATGTGTATTTGATTAGGACTTGGGATTGCGCATAGGCTGCATTCTGCCATTTTTTAGGGCAAGTACTGGAATTGGCTTGGTTGCAGGAAAGGCATCCTTGGGGAGCGGGAGTGGTGAGCATGGTCAAGTCGTCTTTGCTCAGCTGGGCAATCCCTGCAGCCTCATGGCTCCTAATCGTGTCGTGGGCTCCCTGTGCCACCTCCTTGGTGCAGAGGAAACAAGCTGTGGCAGAAACGTTTGTTCCCTGTGAATCGGGACACCAGCTTGGTCAAACTTGGATGGAAAGGCACCACTGAGGTTGGCAGGCTTGACACGAGAGCGCAGGTGTGTGGCAGTGCCATGACCTCCTGTGCCCTAGCACAGGAGAGCGGGTATAGAACAGGACCCTACGCTGCACACACGGCCTGGGCAACCCCCGAGCCCCCCGGGCCGCGGCCACGCTCGGTATGCCCGCCGGGGCGGGGCGAGGCGGCGGCAGGCGGTGCAGGTAGGGACGCGGGGCGGGCCCGGGCGAGGACGGGGCAGAGGTTGCGGCCCCCAGCGGGCTGGCAGCTGCTCCCGGCGCCGGGCCGGGCTGGAGCGGGCCGGGCCCGATCGCGCCCGCGGCAGGTGGGGCCGCGCCGGCCGCACCTTCCCGGCAGGGGGCAGCACCGCCCCGCGCGGCCGCGCCGCGCCCTGCGCGTCCCTGCGGGCGGGGAGGGGTCCTCGGTGCTGCCGCGGGTGTGTCCCGGCCGTCCCGGTGGGACAGCGCGGCGCTGGGAAGGGCAGGGCGGCCCGGGCCTCTCGGGAGGGTGCTGCCGCCTCGGCGCAGCGGGGCAGGTGCCGCGGCTGCGGGGGCGCAGGCGGGGAGGTGGAGGCGCCCCTCGTCCGGCCGAGCCGCGGGACCCCGCTCCCGCCCGAGCGCCGTCCGCTCGCCGGGGGACGTGGGGGTGCGAGGGGTCAGCCGGACACTCAGAGCGGGTGTGAGTGTGTGTGTGTCTGTCTGTGGTGTTCGCGCCTTCCCGCGCCTCCCGGCCGGCTCCCGGGAGTCCCGGCGGGCCGAGCCTGCCCCGGGGAGGCGGTGGCGGCCGCGCCGAGCGGGGCAGGTCGCGGTCGGCGGCGCCCGGCCCTCCCCCTGCGAGGGGCTCGCCGCCCCCCCCGCCGCTGCCAAGGAGCTGTTGGGGGGGATTTATAGGAGTAACAACGGCTCGTGATGTCAGCCCGTGCCTAAAATAGAGAGGGATTGACTGCAAATCCACGGCTCGAGGGCTAAAACCTTCCAATCCAGCCTCAGCCAGCGCCGCGCCGATGTGAAGTCGCCCCCCACCTCCCGCTCGCAGCCGCGCACACACGCACACGCTCCCCGCGGCGAGGGGAGGGCGCCGGGGATCGCAGCCCAGGTGCCAGCGCCTCCTCGCCCCGCCGGCCACTGCTGGGAGGCCGCGGGGCACCGACAGCCTGCTCTGGGACGGCGGGGTGGGGAACAGCCGAGGAGCGGAGCTGCCGGATCCTCGCCCTGCGGAGCCCCGGGATTTACAAGGAATTGCGTGCTCCTTCCCAGACGTGAGCGAGGGTTATACCAAAGAGCCAACCTCCGTCGCGCCCTGCTGTCCAAATTAATCCCTTGGACTCTTGAGAAGACAGGGGGGTTTTCGGAACCATGGCATCGACGGAAGGGTGAGGGGGACCGTCTCTTGGGTGGGAGGAACGGGAGGATGGGGGAGATACCCGGCATTGTTCTTTTGGTAACAGTTTCCTGTCATCTGTTTCATTGTTAATCCTTGCCCCTCGCCATTCCCTAACAGAATAATTAGGGAGCGAGAGGAAACGAGAAGCAGACTAGCCACATATAGGAGAGGGAGAGGGGAAAAAGAATTTTAAATATGAGCCACTGGAAAGGTCTTGGTTTTTCTCCCATCACTTCTTTATTTAACCCCTGGAGGGCAGATCAAGCTTAAACCACCTGCCTGAAAGAAGAGTCCAAGTGAATGGTTAACTCAAGAGGGAGGGGGAAGCTGCTTCCTAAATATAACAGTAATAATAGTAGTAGTAATAATAATAATAGTAATAATAATAATTTCAAAAAGAATTGAGGACCTGTCCCCCCAACCATCTCTTAAAAAGGCAACAAACAAGTCCAACTTCTCAACTTGAGGAGTTGTGCAATTTTGTAGTTCTGTGCCAAATGCGTTACAGTGCTAGCAAGAGAAATGCTGGGAAGGGCAAAGGGTTCTACAAGAGGCTTTACAGAAAAGCAAACAGTTCAGCTCTGGTAGTGTCTCTTGGAAGGAAACCATTCTCCTTACCCATGCCAGGATTGCAAGAATCAACCACTTGATTGCTCTCTGATAGGGCTGGGGGCTTCTTCAGTTTATAAAGTAACTGGTAGTAGGAAAGAAAAGAAAAGGTTTCTTTGATCTCTGCTTGCCCTCTTATAACACTAGCTAGTATTAGACTGTGTTTAGTGTGAGCCTCCCCTTTATCCCTGGATGTTGTCATGTTGTATCAGCATGATCTGCTCTGGATAGGACTCTTTGAGGACAGAGTGCAAAAGGGAACCCAGTTTATATTGTCTTTGTGTCTCAGGCTGAAAGACTCACTGAGTTGATTTAAATAACCCAACACATGTCTGGGAGGGTGTGCACACAAGTGTCCCGTTACCTGGTCGGAAGAAGGAACTGGCTCTCTGTGCAGTGGCCCCCAGCAGTTGGCTTGGGAGGAGTGGAAGGTTAGAAAGTACTAGTTTAGGTTGCTTTAGAAAAAGGACAATCCGCCAGTCTGACAAAGCGCAAATCTGTAAGGCTCTTCTGGCTTTTCATAGGACTGTGACAGATAGTAATAAACTTTCCATTTGCTATTACCTTGCCTTTGCATGGAATTTTTGCACTAAATTTGTACCGTTTTGTTTTGGTAGCAGCCCAGCAATTTAATCTACCCTCTATAGCATGTCCTCTGACAATGAAATCACTTAATTAGGTACTGTCAACAAATGATCAGAGCCATGAGGAAGACGCTCAGAGATGGAAGAATGAGCCTACATCCATAGGGTTGCAGCTGTGTTCCTTCTGTATCCTTGGATTACCCCAACTATCATTCTCCTCTGGGTGCTGTGGTCACCTGCTGTTTGTATTCCCACATAAGGTGGCTGTAGAAATCTGTGCTTGTTTTGGACCAGTGGGGGAATGTGGGATTTGTTGTGCAAGGAGTTTAATAAAAGAAGACATGACAAGAGGTGGCTGTGTTAGAGAGATCTGTCAACTTTGGATGAAAGAAGGTTTTAAATGTGTGTAGAAAGAGAGGTGCTTTTAAAACAAGTTGGATAAACAAATGTGCTAAAAAAGATCAGAGTGCCAAAACCAAAAAGATTTCACTGGATGCACACTCTTGCTTTCCTTATGGAACAGAGCTAAATTGTCAGGACGAGAAAACAAAGAAGTTTAGGCCTTGCTTTCAAACCTTTTAGGAAATTTACCTAGATTAAGACAAGCTGAAACTGTTGTTTGATATAATTCAACTAGTGGTCGATGATAACTGAAGGACGTATGGAAAACAAGTTAAGTGGGAAGCATTCCACTTGTCAATCCCTTTTTACTGGTGAGAACCAGTTCTAAAACTGAATTGTCATCTTTCTCTCGCCTCAAGTAAAAAGCTGAGGATGGAGATTAGCTTTCACTCTGGCATAAAGGTCAGCAAACTGAGGCATCATAAGGATCACCAGGGAAAGTGAACATTAACTGGACCTTGTTCAAGAAGGCTTTCCACCAGCAGTGGCACAATGTGAGAGCGGTGGCAGAGAGTGTCTGTTGCTGCAAGTAGAGCAGTGCATCTCAGGGATACAGAGGTACATTGGAGAAAGACCTCCTGGAGGTGGGGACAAAGGTATTGTGTCTGGTGGCTCTCAGGATGTTCAGCTACATATGTTAGTTGACATCAGAAATATGTAAATGCTTTATTTTGTGGTGATAAAACTACTCCAACCACAGTCATTTTTTTGCAGTGAGTTATTTCGCCTCTAACAGGGGAGCTTACATAAAATCTCCAAAGCGAGGATGTCAGGGATGTGACAGGATACTTGACAGACAACAAAAGGCATACATACACAGAGGAAGGTAATTCTGTATTCCGTGGTTAAGAAGCAGTGGTCACTTAAAGCTGGGTTTTGCTAGGAAAGATTTCCTTGTCTGCACCTTTCCAGTCATTATTTGCTTTTCTTTCAATGTCTTGTTTGGTTATGCTTATCCATGTATAGAAATTTGCTGCACAAATCTTTCTGTTCCAGGAGGATGGTAGACAATGGGAAACTTCAACTGGTAGAAAGGGAGAAAGGAAGCGTTCAACAACATGGCGAAGTCAGACCCATGCATCTGAGTCTGTCTTACTATTGTTTCAGCTAGTGGGGTTTTGGGTGACTGTCGAATTCACTGTCTCTATCTTGATGGTTAAGTCTTTCTTTCACAAAATCCCCTGATACAGATATCATTACTAAGATGGATTTTTGTGTTTAGCGCGTGCTGAAAATGGAAAATAGCTAGTTCAAGGAGGAAGGGCTAGCACCCAGTATTGATACTGTTCAGGGTTTCTTGGTTTTATGTTCTCTGTTTAAATGTCCCCTGCTGGCCATGACTGCAGGCAGGTGCTGCTGGGATATCTGGCCTTCTTACCTGTGCTGGCATTGCCTTTCATGAATGCTTAGTGTGGTTCTAAGATCCCACAGCATTAGTTTATATTTGCAGATTGTGGTGTCTGACATAGGACTCACTATGCAGTAGGTTGATCTATGGAGATTTACCATAGCAGAGCATTTCAGCATTTCCATTGCTTTTACAGGGTCTTGACAGAACCTTAAGGTTAAAAGAGATTGACTCTGACCCAGTTGATGCCCATGCCTGCCTTCAGACCTTTGAGCAAAGTCCTGAACACCTTGCTTCATGTGGTTTTATTATGGCTCTCATCTCTCACTTCAGTGTTACTGTTCAAAAGGGAAAGAATGCAGTACCTGGCTACTGATTTGTTTTGTTGGTTTTTTTATAAAAACCCCACAGATTAGTCTAATCTAGAGATAGGTTTTAGATATTAAACCAGCTTTGTAACTCAGATATTAAACCTTGAGTATTTCAGTGACTTGTTTTACTTATTTGAGTGATGCTGATTTAAATCCTCTAAAAACTTGGAGATGTGTTTGTGTTTTGTATGCCTCTAAAGAGTGGGAGTTTCAGGTGTGAAGTCTGGATTTGGGTCTGTTCCTTCAAGAATACAGCCACTAGGAGACACTATCACAGCATCTGTAGTAGCAAATTAAGCAGAGACAGAGCAGGTGTCTGAGCCAGGAACTCAACCCTCAGTGTGCAGGTCAGCCTCAGAGCAGCCCACCATGGTTTGGCCAGGCACCCCTCTCCCAGTCCACAGGCATCATTAGGGAATCAGTGTGGGCCAGTGGGCATTCCCAGTGGACAGTTTGGATATGATCACCATATTTTGGAGAGTTTGACAATACTGATGTGGGCTCCTCCATATCCATTCCCAGTCCCAGGAGAGGTCTGTGGAAAGCCCAGAGATTTTGCCTGTGGGTATATGTGGTACACAGTTAACGGGCCGGTCTGGGTGTGCACGTGGAGGCACCCTGCTACAAAACAAATCCAGTGAAGTGGAATAGTCTGAAACATTATTATGTTTGATAGACAAAAGTCTGGGTAATTGCTTAGCATCGTGGTTTGACTAGTGAAATAGTTTTAAGTGCTTCTCAGTTTTATGTACACTTAATATAATTGGTGTTTATGTAACATGAAATGGCACAAATGCAGTGCTCCCATTCTGTTCAGAGTAGTGCATAAACTGCATGGAAGCTACAGAGATCCCTACTCTGGTATTTGACTTTATCAGTATCTCACTTCACAAGAAAAAAAACAAAATAAAACAAAAAAATCCCATCTGTGGTCCATTCCTCCTCTCCAAGTTTGGTTGTTCCTACATCGTATTTCTATAGATACTTTATCTTCATCCCAAGTTGCACTGTCTGTGAAGCTACAGTTCCAGCATCATCAGTACTCTTTGTCTGTGCTACTGGATCACTAAACAATGAAAGTTTGGTCCAGATCAGAGAACATATTTGATTTCTCTAAAATTAGCCACAGCACACAGTATGGAACTTACGTAGGTTTTATATTAGCTATAGAAAGATGGCTATTAGTCAATTCAACATAAGTTAACACAGGAGGCACAAATAATAAATACTTACCTGGCATCAAGCCCTGTGAATACAAGTTAAACTGTCAACATTTTTTGAACTAATTTGAACTTTAGGAATTAAAGTACTACACAGGATTATTTTTTTAGTCACGCATCTGTGGTGGGTTTGGATCTTGGATTAAGAGTCATAAGCCATTTGTTGCATTGTCAAGACAAAACCTGAAAGGGAGATTGCCAGTATTTATTAATCATCTAGCTTGGAGACAACAGGACACACCTAGGTGAGTCAGAAAAACTAACTCTGCATTTCATTGTAGGGTTCAGGTGCCTACATAGGGGAATGGGGTTTCAGGATCTGACACAATATGTACAACAAGCACACCCACAGATTTCTTGACATTTGAGTTCTTATTCTGTAATTTACCCACAGAATTTCTATACATGGAAACTTGATGAATTATTCTGGCACAAATGTTTAGATATTTCAGAGG